AACCGTTTGTTAAGCTCCCCCTTCATCCATTTGATGGCATGGATATCACTACCAGCGAGCAACAAGTCATCGACATAAAGTGCAATTAGCATGATAGTGTTACCAATGCGTTTAATGTAGAGGCACAGATCACTACGTGAAGTCTCAAATCCCAATTCACCGAGTAAGAAATCATCCACTTTGGTATGCCATTGACGATGTGCTTGTTTAAGACCGTAAAGTGCTTTCAAAAGTTTACACACATGATCACTTTTGCTTTTGTCAACGCAGCCTTCGGGTTGCTCCATGTAGATGTCTTCATCCAAGTCGCCGTTCAAAAACGCAGTCACGACATCCATCTGATGAAGTTCAAGGTCGTAATGAGCAACTAAGGCAAGAAGTAGACGAATAGTGGTAAACTTTATGACAGGGGCATATGTCTCAGTATAGTCAAGACCTTGCACTTGCTGGAATCCACGAGCAACAAGTCTGGCTTTTGCACTTTCAACTATATTGCCATTTGCATCAGGCAGCTGCTTGACATTGAAAACCCATCGAGATGTCAAGATGTTTGACGCCTCAGATCGAGGAACAAGTTTCCAGGTCTGATTCTTAGTCTGCGAGGCAAGTTCTTTGTCAATGCCAGTTTGCCAGAATGCAGCTCTAGGACCGTGGGTTGCTTGTTTGAAAGTCTTGGGACCTTCAATAGCGACATGCACATGTGAAAGAAGAGCAGCTGCAAAGTTGCTCCTCCACCATGATCCGGGAGGTCTACTGATTCGAGACGATCTTCGTACAGCTGGAGTCGGAGTGGGAGGGGTGACATTCGGAGTTTGGACGGGAGGTGATACATCATCTTCATCATTCTCACCTACAGAGTGAGTGTCCTCGTTTTCAATAACCTCCCCTGAAATTTCATCCTCTTCCGACCCAACCTCATTAGTATTTGGGGTATCGGCTTCATTCTCATTGTCGCCACCGAGCAATACAACGCCAACGTCAGAGCTGATTGAATCTTTTTCATGTGCAGGAATGTCATGCATCCCACATGTCGATTCATCAAACTTGGCAGCTCGTGAAACAACAACTTTACTCAACTCTCCGTCCCAAAGTTTGTATGCTTTACTGCATTGCGAATAACCGAGAAACATCGCTTCACGCGCTCGCAAGTCAAGCTTACGGAGCTCTAATTTCGGTAATGTATACCAACACTTTGACCCAAATACTCTCAAATGGCCAACATTTGGAGTTGACTTCATCCAAATGTGATGGGGAGTCGTGTTAACTGGCAAAGCCCGTGAAGTAACTCGATTGCGTACATATACTGCAGTGGCAAGAGCCTCTGCCCAGAATCGTTTACTGACCTGTTTATGAGAAAGCATGGAACGGACAAGATCAATCAAGGTTCGATTTAAACGTTCAGCAACACCGTTTTGTTCAGGTGTGTAGGCAGTGGTGAGCTGGTGCTGTGTACCGTTTGAATCCAAATATGACTTGAATTCTGTCGACAAGTACTCTCCCCCTCGATCAGTGCGAAGCACCTTCACTTTGCGACCAGTGTGCGTTTGGGCAAACTGTTCATACAACTTGTATTTTGCAAAGGCCTCAGATTTATTTGGCATCGTGTACACAACAACCCAGTTCGAGTGATCATCTACAAATGTAATGAAGTATCTCGAACCACCAATGGACTGTACTTCGAGCGGACCGCAAACGTCAGAATGTACCAAGTCAAGACAGTTCTGTGCTCGAGACGATGATCGCTGTTTTGGGATTACTGATCGCGTTGCTTTGCCGAACACACACCCAGGACAAACGAGAGAGTGATTGTCAGACTTTCGATTCATTGCTCTGATCACATCGCTTTGACGAACATTGATGCCACTTACCACATTATTGTGAATCATTGATGCGATTCCTTGTACGTTAACATGGGCCATTCGTTCATGTAGCGTCTGCAAGGTAACTACATGAGCAGAGAAAGTTTCATTCATGACATCAAGTATGAATAAATCCCCAACTTGACTAGCTGTGGCAACTACAGTTGGTCCTGCAGTAACGATGCATTTGTCTTTTTCAAATGACACTTGCAAACCCTTTGAAACCATTTGGCTAACAGACAGAAGCGAGTATCCGAAATCAGGGACATGCAAAACGTTGGACAATTTGCAAGGATGTGGACTACCATTGACGTTCAACATGAATTCTACCTCACCACGACCAGCGACATTGGCTCTAGCCTTCGTGCCCATCTCGACTGATCCAGATTGCATCTGTTCATAAGTAACGAACAGAGAGCGATCAAATGTAATGTGGGCACTGCAACCGGAATCCACAAGCCATGACCCTGCGTTCACTGCCTTCTTTTCGGGAGAAGAAGTCGAAAGCAGGCATGTAAAGTCGCTTTCAGCAAAGGCAGCAGTAGAAGTTTCATCTCGAGATACGAATGCACTTGGCTTCATGCCGGGGTTGCGGGACCGGAACCCGTCTGGCGGTGCTGGTCGGCGCCCATTCACATCTTTGCCCCAGCAACGTGCTGCGGTGTGTCCATGTCGATTACAGTTCGTACATCTCATATCACGTCGAATAGGCATGCGATTGACAAGTGCAGGTGCGTGGGGTGAAGTAGTAGAAGCGGTCTTCATGCTCTCTCGTTGTTCCTCTTGCAGCAGACGACTCTTCACAAAATCGAGTCCAAACACTTTATCCTCATTGCCAAGTGCGTCAAGTGCAACAATCAAGTTATCGAATCGTGGAGGCAAGCCATTCAACACAGCCATTGCAATTTCTTTATCGTCAATCTCAACACTCATTGACTGCAATCTGGCAGCAAGTTGCTTCACACGATTGATGAACACGAGCACTTTCTCGGATGGGAGCATGGAAACAGTGTAAAAGTCGCGACGGGCGGCAAGTTTGTTGAGCAAAGTGTGACGCTCAAACACATTCAGAATCGCCTCCCATGTCTCTTTCGCACTGCTACACCCTCGCACATGTTGCAAGTAGTCATCAGAAAGCGTGAGTCCGATGACTGCCTTTGCTTTCGCATCACCACGAATCCACTTCCTGCGATCATCTGAGGTCGCATTTTCCGATATATCATCAAAAACGTATTGATCGACATCTCGGAGAGCAAGCAGTAGCTCGATTTTCTGCTTCCAGATGTAAAAGTTAGATGCGGTCAGCTTCTCGATTCTGACCGATCCAGAGCTTTGGTCATCCATTTCGCCGAATGGATGTACCCTTCGAGTATACAAGGTCTTCCGTCCCGGGATCCCAAGCCGTTAACCGATAATCAACACAATGGCATGCCCACCCGTATAGGAAGTTTGTAGCGATTACTCGGAAACGTTCTTGGTGCTTGTTCCCGGCGGAGTGGAACAAGCGTATTCTTCTTAAAAATGCCTTAGGGCGCTACCCCTATATGTCGGCCAGTGTGGGTCTTTCGACTGTGAACTAAATCAAACGTGCCACGAGTAAGCACAACAACTTTGCCTGTAGACGAACCAGGACTTTTGGTTACTACCGCGAACGGTCCCTGCAACCGAAATCGGCTTGTCCAAACTTGATACGGTACTGCCTCAGAGGGTCTCCCACAACACAAGAAGGAAACTGCCTTCGTCGTACTCGTGTGATTTGTTCATAATCACTCCTTGGGTCACCCTCTTCCGTGCGAACCTAATCAAGGTACGCGACCTTATACACGTATAGTGAGAGGTTCAGTGTTTAGGCACGTATTCTCTTCACCCAGGGGACCGAAGTCGTACCTATAGGGCTAATACCGAGAGCGTTACCCACACCGCCGACGCACCTCCCGAAGGCAGAGTGCGGATCGACTAGACCAGTACACTGTGATCCTCCCCGAGGATCAGTAATTCGTCTCTCGACGATTCTTGGTCGGACCCTCGCTCAAGTCAGATTTCCAATGGCACCAGCCTTTCACCAAGAGCGAGGGTATGTTCCACTGAGGATTTGGCAGTGCGTTGGCCACTAGGGACTTTCTTCCTCCCGACAAGCGGAAGGCTCACCCACAGCTCACACAACGACTGCCACGACAAAGCTGCAAGACCACAAAGTTGATTTCCAAAAACTGGGAACTGACGGACCACCAAACTGAAAAATCGGCTGAAACGGTGCTGAAAACGACGGCGAAAACTGAAAAAACTGAAAAACCAAACTCCAAAGCGGAGACTGAAACTGATACCTTCTTCTTCTGCTTGACGAGCTGAACAAACTGATACTTGAACGACGGCGAAACTCGAACTTGAACCAAAACGAAGACGACGATCAGCGTTGAACTGGGCCCATAACCTATTGAAAGGTCAGCGGGGCAGAGGGAAGAAGGATGGTTGAAGGTTGCTGGTGGTTGACGGGAAAAGAAGTTGATGCCATTTTACTCTTGGTCGCCAACTATTGGCGCTACTTATACTCTTCGAACTACATACAATACGAGCCATTAGGGCTGGTCACGTGACTCTCCTTCTTGCACTCGTTGATAATCAAGTGACTCTTCCTGTTGCACTCTCGGTTGATAATCAAGTGACTCTCCTACTTCCACTCTTGGTTGATAATCAAATGACTCTCCTTCTTGCACTCTCGGTTGATAATAATTTGGGATCGTTTGAGAGTCAATAATATCTGAATGTACTGTACTGTAGACTACAGATTTTACACTACGATTAATAACCACTGTAGCACATACGTCATACGTGTCATACACGTGTAGGACAAATGTTATACGTGTCACACACGTGTCAAATCGAGAAAAATGAAACATGTCCAAAATGTCCTGTAGAGTGCCACGAGGTACATAACTTACACGTGTCAACACCAAAATTGAAACATGCTCGGAAATGATAGGAACGTGCAACCGTGTACAAATATGACACGTGTCCACGTTGAAGACCAAACATCCTGAGAATGCTCTTGCAAGCATTTTAGGTTTCGTCGATGTACACGTGTGATATCTGTCAGGCTTGGAGCTTAGCATGTGGTCGAAGATTTCCAACACTCCCCCTCGATCACATGCTTTTACTGGACACTGCAAGCCCCAGAAGTTCTACCAACTTCTGGAATAGAATTCGCCCAAGTGCTTTGGTTAAGATATCGGCAGGCATGGAAGTGGTCGGACAATGCGACAAATGCACAATGTTTCTCTTAATAGCATCTCGTACGTAGTGGTATTTTACATCAACATGTTTGTTGCGACGGTTGATCGATTCATTCTGTGCAAACGAAATCGTCCCTGCATTGTCACACGCCATCATGATCGTGGGATCAGAATCAAGTCCGAGGACATCAGCAACAACTTGACGCAACCAGGTCGCCTCCTTACACGCTTCACATAGTGCAATGTACTCAGCTTCACACGTCGAAGTTGCAACCACAGTCTGTTTCCGGGAACTCCAACTGATAGCTCCACCACAGAACTTGAAAACATATCCGCTGGTCGACTTGCGAGAGTCTGAACAACCGGCCCAGTCACGAATGGTAGCGTAAATCTGGGCCCATAACCTGATGTTAAAATCGAGGTCTGAAAAATTTGCCGCAAAAATTCGTTACCCACTAGGCCACAGGCGCTGGCTTCTTGGTGTCCCCTTGGGCGCGCTCACTATTTCAACAGAGGTGATACATCATCTTCATCATTCTCACCTACAGAGTGAGTGTCCTCGTTTTCAATAACCTCCCCTGAAATTTCATCCTCTTCCGACCCAACCTCATTAGCATTTGGGGTATCGGCTTCATTCTCATTGTCGCCACCGAGCAATACAACGCCCACGTCAGAGCTGATTGAATCTTTTTCATGTGCAGGAATGTCATGCATCCCACATGTCGATTCATCAAACTTGGCATCTCGTGAAACAACAACTTTACTCAACTCTCCGTCCCAAAGTTTGTATGCTTTACTGCATTGCGAATAACCGAGAAACATCGCTTCACGCGCTCGCAAGTCAAGCTTACGGAGCTCTAATTTCGGTAATGTATACCAACACTTTGACCCAAATACTCGCAAATGGCCAACATTTGGAGTTGACTTCATCCAAATGTGATGGGGAGTCGTGTTAACTGGCAAAGCCCGTGAAGTAACTCGATTGCGTACATATACTGCAGTGGCAAGAGCCTCTGCCCAGAATCGTTTACTGACCTGTTTATGAGAAAGCATGGAACGGACAAGATCAATCAAGGTTCGATTTAAACGTTCAGCAACACCGTTTTGTTCAGGTGTGTAGGCAGTGGTGAGCTGGTGCTGTGTACCGTTTGAATCCAAATATGACTTGAATTCTGTCGACAAGTACTCTCCCCCTCGATCAGTGCGAAGCACCTTCACTTTGCGACCAGTGTGCGTTTGGGCAAACTGTTCATACAAGTTGTATTTTGCAAACGCCTCAGATTTATTTCTCATCGTGTACACAACAACCCAGTTCGAGTGATCATCTACAAATGTAATGAAGTATCTCGAACCACCAATGGACTGTACTTCGAGCGGACCGCAAACGTCAGAATGTACCAAGTCAAGACAGTTCTGTGCTCGAGACGATGATCGCTGTTTTGGGATTACTGCTCGAGTTGCTTTGCCGAACACACACCCAGGACAAACGAGAGAGTGATTGTCATATTGAAAATGTGCGACCACATGCTGTTATCTGAAAAGGTCAAAATCGAGTGACACGTGTACATGACTGCACGGTCCGGGCGCTCTTACCCATATCACGACATGACACGTGTAAAATCCCAGATTTTGGGGTTCCGGGGACGAAAGTGGCCTCTCGGAGGGTCATGCAAATTTGCATAGTTTTGCCAAGTGGAACCTTGGCCCGTAGCACTATAGACTACACAGGAAATACTGCAATTCTATTGGCCCTCAGGTCTAATGCTGCAAATATATTTGTCGAGCGTTGTCCACGTGTGCGTCATTGGCCTTGTGATGTACTTTAAATGGCCTGTATATGCCAGAATTACGTTGTTTTGGGGGTTTCAAGTGGTTTGCCATGGTTGTAATGGGTAATTGCATGGGGTCTCCGGGCGGGACACATGTATGCCGTGTACACATGTACACGTCGCCAGGTGGATTCGTGTACGTACACATGTACACGCATCCAGGTGTATGCCCATGAGGGTTTACAGTTTTACAGTGTCAGACTGTTTGCGATCCTGCGCGTGTCCGAGTACAGTGCATGTGAATCAAAAGTACAACAAGTACTTCTCGCGAGAGGAATACAGTTGTGCGATTATTCTGTGTACGCGTCACGCTGTATGCGAGTCTTGCGTGAGCACGCGCCGTTGCACTGTGCTCTCGTCATGGTGCGCCGTTGGATGCAAGTTCATGACAGTACTCGTGTGATTTACATGTATTCTCATGTGAGTTGTGTAGAGAGTCTGGATGCACATTGTTATAACTTGCCATAATTGTCTGACAGTGCTTGGCGAAATTAGTAAGTTGAGAAACAAGGATACGTATGGCGATTGTGATATGAAAGACGTTTGCGTTGTTGGAAATAGACAAGTGCCAAGTTGTTCGTTGCACAACAATGAAGTCTGGCATGACTGGATGCAGATTAGTAAGGTGTGAAACAGTTGCATGCATAGGGCCATGGTTTACAGTCATTTGGAATGTGTAGAAATAGTTGTGAGCTAATAGTTACGAATCGATTCGTAAGGTGGAAATCGAACAGTATGGTCGGGCCACAAGAGGACCGCGCTTGGTCGCGCATAGTAGAGTATGGTTTACTGGGAGTCGGAGTAGAGCGATAGTGTAGCACTCGAAGTGTATAAGTATCGCAGGAAAACGGCTTCAAAGTAAACCTCGGTACCAACTCCTTCACTCACACACATGAACCTGCCTTCCTTCTTTCCCTTGCCCCTCCGAACCTACCATTAGGTTATGGGCCCAGTCCCTCGCTGTCGTTTCACTGCATGAGTCTGTCGTTCTCGTTCCGTTGTTTCTGCCGTCGTTGTCGCTGTCGTTTTCGCTGCCGTTTCTCGTCGTTCTTTCCGCTGGTCTTCTCGCTGTCGTTGTCGCTCTCGTTCTTGCCGTCGTTCTTGGTTTTGGTTTTCGCTGCTGCTGTCGTTCTTGCTCTCTTGTGTGAATTGGTTTTGGTCATCGCCCCCGCTGTCTTCGTTGTCTTCGTTCTTGGTTTGGCTTTTGTTCTTGCTGTGGTTCTTGCTGCTGTCTCTGTCTTTGGTCTTCGTCTTCGTTTCCGCTCCCGCTACCGCCGTCGTCGTCAATCTCGCATTTGGTTTTTCTTCGTTCTCTCATGCAAAGTAAGTTTTGAGTTTCTTTCCATTTCCTACACATCTAAGTGATTGTCTTTGCACGTTTTGGTGGTTCTTAAGAGCAATAATTCCAAAATCTGTTACTGACGATTATCTTCATATTCCTTATTGTGAATACCTGTTTTTACGGGGTTGTGTTAGATCTGGAATTAGTACCGGTGCGCTCTGCGCCTGGGAAGCTGGTCACCGGTCGAACGGTTCGGACATCGGAGGTTGTATCCGTTGAGGTGCTTGAGCCTGAGGATCAACCTTCACCTCGGCTCACGCTTCCGGGTCCGTCCTCGAGTTGCGCACCATATAGGATTCCTCGTATTCCGCGCTCTGTTCCCGCACCAATAAAGAGAACTACGCATCGACTTTCTGCTCGGAAAGCGGCTGTTCTCGCGGATAAAGAGTTTAAGCGTGAGCGCAAGAGGAATCGTAAGGTGTGCCCGCGGTATAAGCGGTATTGTAAAGTGTGCGGCGTTAGTGGCAATAGTGCGAAGGCCTTTTACGACCACATTCAGTCTAGGTCTCATCGCATTCAAGTTGCCAACGCTAAGGAGACTCCGCGTTGTATCCCTTGCAATCGCGTATTTGAGTCTCACGGGCACCTGAAGTGCCACGAGGACGGTGCGGCACACTTAAAGGAAGTTTCTGAACAGAATAGTTAGGGATTTCATCCAAATAAATTCACATATCTGTGATGTTAAAATCGAGGTCTGAGAAATTTGCCGCAAAAATTCGTTAACCACTAGGCCACAGACGCTGGCTTCTTGGTGTCCCCTTGGGCGCGCTCACTATTTCAACACTCCCCCTCGACCAGGGGACGCCAAACACACGGCGCGGGTCACTGCACAACACACAGGCAGGTACGTTCCCAAGTGTGATACAAACAAACATTGCGCCGCCCAAGTGCACCCGGTGAGAATCGAACTCACGAATGGTAGCGTAAATCTGGGCCCATAACCTGATGTTAAAATCGAGGTCTGAAAAATTTACCGCAAAAATTCGTTAACCACTAGGCCACAGACGCTGGCTTCTTGGTGTCCCCTTGGGCGCGCTCACTATTTCAACACTCCCCCTCAACCGGGGGACGACAAACACACGGCGCGGGTCACTGCACAACAGCATGTGGTCGTAGAATTACAACATTGCTCCACCGCAGAGCTTGAAAACATATCCGCTGGTCGACTTGCGAGAGTCTGAACAACCGGCCCAATCAGCATCACCGAAGCCGAACAACTCCGGCGATTTGGATTTATTGTCAAACACGATTCCTAAGTTTTGAGTCCCTTGCACATATCGCATTACCCGTTTCACACCTGCCCAGTGTGACTCACATGGGTTGGCAGAATGTTGGGAAAGCTTTCCAATGGCGTATGCCAAGTCTGGACGAGTGCCAACCATCAAGTACATAAGGCAACCGACTGCCTCACGATACGGTGCCTTTGTTTCGGAGTCGTTTTCGATAGAATTCGTGGTTTTGCGACATTGTTCCATTGGAGTCAGAGAAGGGTTACAAGTCGACATTTTAAAACGGTCAAGCACATTTAATGCATACTTAGTTTGAGTGAGACTCAATGTCTTGATAGTGCGATCTCTTTGAATCTCAAGACCAATGCAGACTTTTGCCTCACTAAGGTCTTTCATCTCAAACCGTTTGTTAAGCTCCCCCTTCATCCATTTGATGGCATGGATATCACTACCAGCGAGCAACAAGTCATCGACATAAAGTGCAATTTGCATGATAGTGTTACCGATGCGTTTAATGTAGAGACAAGGATCACTACGCGAAGTCTCGAATCCCAATTCACCAATTAAGAAATCATCCACTTTGGCATGCCATTGACGATGTGCTTGTTTAAGATCGTAAAGTGCTTTCAAAAGTTTGCACACGTGATCACTTTTGCACTTGGCAACGCAGCCTTCGGGTTGCTCCATGTAGATGTCTTCATCCATGTCGCCGTTCAAAAACGCAGTCACGACATCCATCTGATGAAGTTCAAGGTCGTAATGAGCAACTAAGGCAAGAAGTAGACGAATAGTCGTAAACTTTATGACAGGGGCATATGTCTCAGTATAGTCAAGACCTTGCACTTGCTGGAATCCACGAGCAACAAGTCTGGCTTTTGCACTTTCAACTATATTGCCATTTGCATCAGGCAGTTGCTTGACATTGAAAACCCATCGAGATGTCAAGATGTTTGACGCCTCAGATCGAGGAACAAGTTTCCAAGTCCGATTCTTTGTCTGCGAGGCAAGTTCTTTGTCAATGCCGGTCTGCCAAAATGCAGCTCTAGGCCCGTTGGTTGCCTGGTTGAAAGTCTTGGGACCTTCAATAGCGACATGCGCATGTGAAAGAAGAGCAGCTGCAACGTTGCTCCTCCACCATGATCCGGGAGGTCTGCTGACTCGAGACGATCTTCGCACAGCTGGAGTCGGAGTAGGAGGGGTGACATTCGGAGCTTCGACGGCAGTGGGTACATCATCTTCATCTTCATCATTCTCACTTACAGAATGAGCGCCATCGTTTTCAAGAACCTCCTCCGAAACTTCATTCTCTTCAGAACCGACCTCATCCGTATTTGGGGTATCAGCTGTATTCCCATTGTCGCCATCGAGCAGTACAACATCAACATCAGAGTTGATTGAATCACTTTCGTGTGCAGGAATGTCATGTATACCACATGTCGATTCATCAAACTTGACATCCCGTGACACAACAATTTTATTCAACTCTCCGTCCCAAAGTTTGTATGCCTTACTGCATTGCGAGTACCCAAGAAACATCGCTTCACGCGCTCGCAAGTCCAGCTTACGGAGCTCTAATTTTGGTAATGTATACCAACACTTTGACCCAAATACTCGCAAATGGCCAACATTTGGAGTGGAATTCATCCAAATGTGGTGCGGAGTTGTATTAACGGGCAAAGTGCGTGAAGTAACTCGATTACGTACATATACCGAAGTGGCAAGAGCCTCGGCCCAGAATCGCTTACTGACCTGTTTATGAGAAAGCATTGAGTGGACGAGATCAATCAAAGTTCGATTTAAACGTTCAGCAACACCGTTTTGTTCAGGGATGTACGCCGTTGTGAGTTGGTGCTGCGTACCGTTTAAATCTAGATGCGACTTGAATTCCGTCGA